GTAATAAACATCTGTGATTTAAGGAGAGAACATCTGAAAATACTCAGCTGAAATAGTCAACTGCTCACCCATTCTGTTTTTATATCATGGCTCTGGTTCATGGTAATTGTATCCCATATCAAATCTTGTCTTTCCCGAGGGACATTAAATAAACCAACAGGCTCGACCAGTGTCGTCTTGGTGTACAGGCCTGTGAAATGAAATTCTTCAAGCTCTGTAAGTGGTATGCAGGGTCCAGTAAGAGCAGTGTGCAGTCTGACGTGCATAATTGGAGGAATTGCTTCTCAGCCCTTGGGAACTGTGGTGGTTTATCACACGTCTGTATCTGTAGAGGTTACTCAAGATGCCTCTTCAGCAGTTTTATCTTCCTTCTAGGATGGCAAAACCAAACAGCTACTTCATTTTGAAAATTCTTTATCATTATCTTCTTTATTGGTTATGAAGTCAGACTCACTTCTGTGCATTCCTAATACACTATAAACTAGGTATTCATGTAACTCTTGGAGTCACCTGAGAAGCCTCCAGATCACAGGTTTTAGAGATAAAATAAAATTACTAAATTATAATTAGGTTCAAATCTTGGGGGTATTATCACTGAGCAGCTCCTGAATACTTGGATTTGACAGGCACAGTAATAAACCTGTTCACATGGGCTATGGATGCTTTTGATGCAGAAGAACTTTTAATAATTACACATTAAACTTTTGAATACATTCATCTACTTAACTGAGTATAGGTCCTACCCAGTCCTCATTAAATTTTTACAGCTTTTGTCTTTATAAGTTTTTATCATTACAGCATTTAAGAGTTAGAGGACTCCTGCTGCCTAAAAACATGGCTTGACAATTACTACAAATTGGTAATTACAGCACATGGTGCCAAACAATAGGACAAGAGGCAATGGGTAGAAACACGCACAGAAAGTTCCACCTGAACATGAGGAAGAACTTCTCTACTGTGCAGGTGACTGTGCATTGGAACAGACTGCCTGGCATGGTTGTGGAGCCTCCCTCACTGGAGATACTCAAGAACCTCCTGGATGTAACCTGAGCATCCTGCTCTGGGATGCCCCTGCTCCAGCACAGAGGTTGGACCAGGTGACCCACTGTGGTCCCTTCCAACCTGACCCATTCTGTGATTCTGCATATTACTAAAGCAGGCAATTCCACCCCTTTCCTTAGCCCCATGTCCTGCTTCTTGCACTGCAGTAATTACAACTGTAATTATAACTCCACGTAATATGAAATATTAGAAATATCAGAAAATTCTTTTCTGATCTGATGGTAATTACATTGGTAGTTTAGTCTTCCTGTGGATAAGATGAAAGCCACAGGTCACCAGTGGCTTCAAAATTGTCAAATCCTAAACAAGAGAAGAAATGGAGGCATATGTCATCTGAGAATAAGATGACCCTCTTCTTCAGGAACCACCCTTGTAGCAGATTAGGAATAAGGTGAGACTTTTCTTTTCCTTAGCATCTTTTCATTCCTTTGAAAGTCCTGGGATGGAAATGACATTTTGCCTGTTACTATTAAGAACTAAGATGAAAATTAAATATCCTGTTGATGAAAAACCTACATAATCACTAAGGCATAAATCAACAATAAAATCTCAACAGCTCAAAGTTATCTTGCAATTTTAGTTTTAATAGGCAATTTTAATTTTTAGCTATGTGTGTAATGTATTACTTTTATATTCTTGATTGTATTGGTTTGATTCTGCATCTTCAGTTGATGGTTTCTGCAGGTGCACCAAGCTTGTTTATAAGATGATCTTCATTCCACAGAGTTTTTAAACTCAGTGCCCTTCTCAAATTGGCAGGTAGGAGCGGAAGAAGCAGTTGGCACAATTCCTCTGAGGGGCAGGGAGTCCTCCATGCTCAGGAGATGCAGCGTCCTGGCTCTGCAGATTACAGCTGTGATGCCACTCAAGTAATGAGGGGAGTTAACATGAATGTACAGTTGACTTCTGTGTAAGGAGACAAGACGAAAAGCTAAAAAGTACAGTGGACACAGGCAAAAGAAATTGAGCTCTCGTGTCACTTTAGCACCAGGAATCATAAAGGAGCAGGTAGTGACAGTTCAGTTGTAGAAAAATGATACAGGGAAAAAAAAAAAAAGGTGAGAACAGAGGAAAAAATGTTTGGTGACATTTGAAAACATTACGGACAACATGGGAATAAAATGTAAAATTGTAGGGACACTAATCAAGAATTATATTTTACCTCTGTGAAACTGTCTCGGTTAATCAGAAAATTATCTAATAAATGCAGTTTGAACATTAGTTTAATTTTTCCTGTAAGTATAAGGTATTGCAAACTCTGAAGAAAAGTGGATTTTTAGGTCAACTGCAAGAATATTTACCAAAAAAATTTGGTAGGAGGTACAATTTCATTATTTGCTCCAAATATTTTCGATATGGGAGTCATAATCATGCAGTTGATCAGATCAGTGTAAAATAGCCTCTGAAATAATGAAGATAACAGATTATATTAAATCTTACCCCATAAGCTTTGAGTATTTGGGACCCAGTACTCTGATTCTTGAAATCTCTGGCAAAATTTAGGTTGACTGGTGAAAGATCAGACTGCACTAGCTAAATACTAAAGCAGTCGTTTTAAGAAACCAGTTATTCTGTCATCCATCTCTATACCTGCAACAGATTAGGAAGGGTTAACTGCAGAAGTGTTTTATTCTATGTTTTGCATAGGTGAAGGTCAAAACTGAAATGAAAACCAAATTATAATAACTTACTCCTAGTGAAATCTACCCTCTCTGGGAATTAGGGCCTTTCCTTAGTGGGATTACTGGATAACTTAAGAAGAAGCTACTGGTATTCATATTTTTTTTTCTGGGAGACTGATAATAGTGTTTGTTTTCTTACTGTGCTTATGGGACTGATTCCCTAATCCCTATAGCATTATGCACAGTACAAAAACATCTCTGCAAGCCAGGTTACCAAGAAATGAGGAAAGGGAAAAAACCCAATAAAACACAGGGATTATTCTCCAGATCCCCCTATTCCCATGATGACAAGGAGCTAAAAAAAATGTTTCACATATACATTAGGCATTGCATGACACTTTAAAAAATCAAGATGTGACAACAGTGATAAAAGACATCTTTGGTAGTCCTGTAAGAATAAACTCCAAGTGTATTCAGGGATGGGGGATTCTGCCCACGACTTTCAGCTGTAGCGTAATGCTTTAATTACTTACATACCCAGTTAAGATTGAGTAGGTAGTAATTAACTCATGCTCTATTTTATATGCAGGGCAAACTGTCCCTTGCTTTTCATGCCTACTATCCTCAGAAATAGGATTTGCAGCATAGATGAAGTTATCTCAGTAAACAATCCTTCAGTAAAAACATAGTAGGTAACTTGTTTTTAATATTGAAAAGCTCTGTGTGATAGATTAAAAAAGACTTATTGAACATAAGGGCAGTTAAAAGCTTTTTTTTTTTTCAAAAGTGGATTTTCACCTAATTTTTCTTTATTACAGAGTAGAAGTCATATTTGTACTGAATACAATTTGCCTAAGACCACAGAGCTGATCTTTCCATGCAAAATGAGCTTGCAGTCTATGAAGTGTTCTGGCATTCACAAGCTTATGCTGTTGCTTTGTATCTTCTGACCTTCAACAGGGTTTTTTGGAAGAAGCTTAAGAAACTGAGTATAATGGTTTGAAATCAGTTGTATCTCGCTGTGATTACATCAACACAGATTGTCAATATGTCCATGTTTGTAACGGAACACATGTCCATTGCTTAAACTTGATGTTCTTGCTGTCTTTGGGCATATGGCATCAAGAGATGTATTTTAGGATAAACATATGTTTGGATCATGCAAAACAACGACAACTAGTAAAACAGAAATATTCCACTTAGTGCTGTAACAGCCTAAGTTCATTCTGAAGAACTGCAGGAAAGAGAAACCTTTACCAGCTCTATGCATCTGCTTAATGCAACAAATCCTCTGCAACCAAAATGGTATTGCAAAAATCATATAGTAATAAATACTGACTTCCAGGGAAAACATGGTTGAGCAATGTCAGGTTGAATGGCATCAGGAGCCCATAGTTTGTGAATGAGAATTGAATTTAGAAGACAAATGTATAGGATGCAACTTACATGATGATACTTTTCCCATCCTTACTTTTGGTAGGCTAATTTCCTTTCCTACTCAACAATCAACAAATATTGATCCTGTCTTCAGCAAATTCTTGCAAAGCCAAGGGACTTGTTCACCTCTGCAGCTACCTCACAGGGTAAGGATAGTCCTGCTCTCTTCCGCTTAAAGGGTTCTGCCTTTTAAGCAAACCCCAACGTTTGTATGCTTGCTTTAATATTGACAACAGTGTTGATGCTGGATAAAAGTTGGAAACTGATGCTATGTTCTGCTGAGGTTTTGTTTTTCCTCCAGTTAGCTGTTTTCAAAGTTAAGGATATTAAAAACATACCAGAAGGTTAAACTTGTACATAAAGGTGGTACTTGCATCACACCAAATAATATGGTTGAACAAGGTAGACAGGATTTTGGGTGCAAAACCCTTCTAAAGGTCTAAAATTAAAGAAGATTTCAAAGGTAATACAAACTGCAAACGATTGTTCAATAACTTAATTTTTACTTATAAGGCCATCTCTGAAGAAAAAATCAGGGCTACCACTGGAGCTGAGGTAACACAAGGATTTTTTAACATCATCAGAAAGGAGAGGGGTGAAGGGACAGAGGAAGGGGTTTCAGTGTTTTTGGAATGTGCAGCATAAACAGTGGGAAGGGGATTATAATGACCTAAAAAATCAGTTTCTGTTAAATCCTTAGTTTTACATAATCACTGGGATTATAAATTTTATAGGTTGTCTTCAGATAAACATTTTGTAGATTTATCTTGAGGATCCTTTAAGTCTGAAATACTACAGCACAAATAACAGCTTTATGAAGCGTGTTTCCGCAAGTTGTTTAATTTATTGACTGCACACAGTCACTCTACCGAGTGCTGCCTGTTTATTTTCACCTACACAGATATGGCAATCATCTGGTGCAAAAGACAGGGATTATTCCAGTCCAGGAAAGGAAAACGTAGAATCCAGAAATGCTCTGACTTAAAATAGGCCCACGTTCATTTGGACTCGTACACCACCAGAGACCAGTGCAGGAAAATCAGATGACCCGTGGCAGAGCAGCACCCGGGGAAGTGCACACAGGGACAGCCAGGGAGCTAGTGACAGCACATGGAGTAATGGGACACACTGGAAGAAGAGGGATCTGGGTTGGATATCAGGAAGAAATTCTTTACTGTGAGGGCGGTGAGGCACTGGAAGAGGTTTGCGGATGCCCCATCCCTGGCATCGAAGCCGGGCTGGAAGCGGCTCTGGGCAGCCCGGCCTGGCGGCTCCCTGCCCATGGCGGGAGTGTCGGATCTGGATGATCTTCAAATTCCCTTCCCACTCCTCAACATTCTGTGGTTCTAAGATTGTACGGCCCTCCCACTAGGGCACACCAGGCGTGAGGGGAGCCCGGAGAAACCCACAAAACGGAGAGGCGCGGTCCGCATTAACTGAGTCACTTAAACACCCTGCACGTGCAGCTCTAAAAACCTTCACAAACTGAAGCCGGCTGGGGACCAGCCCCGTCCCGGGTGGCGGTGACGGACATCGCGGGGAGAGCGGGGTAAAGGCAGCGCCGCGGGACCAGCGGCTCACAAACAAACAGCGCCCGCCCGCACTGCCCTCGCCCCGCCCAAGCTCCGCGCACGCGCAGCGGCTCAACGGGCGGGCACCTCCACGTGACCGGGGAGCGCGCGGGGCGGGGCCGCCCCGGCGGCGGCGCAGAGGGGAGGGGGAGGAGGCGGATCCATCATGGCGTCGATGCAGGTGAGGCGTCTGCGGCGGAGCCCCGGGGCAGCGCTGGGGCCGGGCGGCGGCGGGGGGAGCCGGGAGCGGCCGTTCCTCCGGGCACGTGCGTGCGTGGCGCGGCGCGGAGGGAGGAACTGCCCGGGCAGAGGTTGAGGGCGTCGAGGTCCCGGGTAGCGGCGCCGGGGAAGGCAGGTGGCGGCAGGGAAGGGCCGGGATGGAGGTGAGACGCGCAGAGGTGTGAGGGGCGAGGCTGGCACTCGGGCGGCGGCGGCGGGCGGGGCGGGCGCGGGGGGAGGCACCGGGCCCGGGGGAAGAGGCGCCTCAGGGAGGCGTCTGGCAGCGATGCCGCCGCTTCCTGGGCAGGCGAGGGAAGGGCGAAGGGATCCCTGCCCCCCGGGACTTGGGGGGCCGCAGCTTCGCCGGGCGCCCTGGGAATGTGTGTCACACCGAGCCGGGGGGCGCTCAGCGGGACCCTGCCCGCGGCATCGTGGGGACCGTGACCAGCAGCTCCGAGTTCTGGGGTTCTGGCGCTGTAATTGCCCCGCACACGGGGGACTGGGACAGGCGTGTCCTGCTCCAAGCCGCGTGTTGCCCGTGGGGTTCTCTTTCTCTCCGTGGTGTGAGCTCTGTGGACAGCTAACGTCCGGCTTTCTCGGCCGGATGGTATTGCTGTAGGTACGGTAGGATGGAACATCCTGCTGCCTGACAGGTATTTCCAGCTGAATTATTCATTCATACCTACTCCGAAGGGGTTCTTAAATAGGGGCTGCAGAAATTGCTCTGGTAGAATGGATTACTTTCACCGTGTGCTGCTCTGAGTGGGTGGTGCTTTATTACGACTGGGGCAGGAGAAAACATATCTAGGTTTTGTGGCTGTGGCTCCTGTTTCTCCTTATTTAACCAGCAACTTCTCTACTTTTCCTTGGATGTTTATAGTTTTCCATTTTATTTTTATATTTGGATCATCTAGACCTCCTTTCCTCTCATTTTAGTCTAGGATAGCTTACATTTTTTCTCACTAGTCATAGCACAGAAAGAGTGTACCAAATGGGTGAAATTTGTTTAATTTTCCTAATAACCTGGATTTAGCATAGCTAAAAAGAGTTAAAATGTCAAATTATTGAACTGTATGGGATAAAAATTATTCTCCTGAAGTTTAGAAGCAAAACTTCCCCCCCATTCCATGGTGTGTCTTTCAGAGTTACTGAAATGAAACGAGATCAAGAAATTGAACATACTGTACAGAATGTTCTTTTAGCAGTAGCTTAGGCAGGTAGTGTGATGTGCCTTGGTTTTATTAGCTCTCTCTGGCAAATGCGTTTTTGCAGTGCTCTTCTTCTAATCTGCAGACTTTTACAAGCTCAACTGCAAAATAGAGGCTATAGTTTATTAAGAAGTGTCTTTTAAAAAACTATGTGAAAAGTAGGAAATGCTTCACCCTAATTCCTGTTGCTCCCTCTGTAAAGGGGAAAAAATGGTTACATATTAAATAAGGTTGTTGGGGATACATGAATGACAAATGTTGCCTAAATGTCAGAGGTGTGGAGGGTAATACTCTCTTCCTGAAATTACAGCCGTTTTAAGCCTGATGTTGTAATTGCTTTCATTTTAGAGATACCAGCTGTAAGATGACACTTTTTGTTTTCTTACGTGATGTTCTGTTGTCTTTGGATAAGAGATTCAAGGACATTTATGAAGTGTTTTTTGTCTATATATGGCTAATTGCATGGTGCTCTAATTACTCTTTCCTATGTTTAGTAATTTAATAATGTAGTTTAGCATGTTGGAAAGGAGTTGTAAACAGGAAGCATAAATGAAAATTTAGTAAGTGAACTAGTAAGTTTATCATAGACATGCTCCCAGGTGAGCAAGATTTCAAGACTCTGAGTTCTGTCAATTAACATTTGAGTGTTCAGTGTGAAAAAATGTTTTACAAAGGAAACCGGTAATTTTAAGTGGTTTTTTTTTCTGTTCAGAATAATTTATTATAATTATTGCTGTCTTCTAAGTCGCCTGACACAACCAAGAGGTGTCCTTTTCCTGATGAAGTGTGGTGTTTTTAAATACACAGTGTTTACCTGGAATGTGTGTGTAACTCCTTGCCATCTCTGGCTGTACCAGTGGTCTGACACTGTACTATTATGACAATATTATGGATTTTATTGATAAAAACGATACATTGGTGCACAGAGTAAGTTCTAGTTACTTCTTAAACTGCTGTAATTTTATACAATAGCGTATGATGCCCCAGGTTAATTACATTTTATTTTTACAGATCCACTGAAAAGTCTTGGATTAAGTTACAAGAGTTATCTGATTAGGCTGTTGTTAGTCAGTCTGCAGTGAAGTTTTGAAACTTGTGACAAATTGCCTCTTTTTGCTAATGGCCCTGGGCGTCGACCTGAACAGTTACTGCTGTTCAGTGGATGCACAGTAACTTGTGACTTTGAGCCTTTGTGTGTATCATTAAACTCACAGATTTTTGTCTGTGTGGACAGTCTTTAATGGGAATTTTCTGTCACCCTTTTTTTCTGCAGTAATAGAAGCCAATGCTTATGAGATCTTGTGTTTTGTTTTCTAACCACAATGTTGTTGCTAATTTGCCACTGCTGGACTGGTTTAAACCTGGTTTGCATAACTTTAGGCAAATCATATTTTTTTCTTAAAGAAAAAAAAGCTAACACACCCCAGACAAGCCTTTAAAGGAAGAGCACTTATTTTCAAGAATTTTCCCAGAAAAAGCCCAAGCTTGTGCAATGTTCTCCTGGATAAAATCACATAAATACTCTGAAAAGGTACAAGTAATGTAGAACAAGGGAAGATAATGGATTTGCTTTAGAAACTTTTAATATAGCATCTTTAGTAATCTGAAGCCTTTAAAGGCAAATGCTTAAGAAGTAGTAAACAGTTCTCAGAACAGCTGGAAACACAGGACTTGCCTTATGAATGGAAGAGCAGGTAAAAATAGAGTAAGGAAGTTCAGTTGAAAATGTACAGAAAATATACAGAAAATATGTCAAGTGTTAAATAATTAAAGCCTTTCCCTCAGTGTCCAGATATGAACTGTTTGCATCATAAACTTGAAATATTTACTTTATTGATAATACTGACATCTTAATTACTATGATTTACCTTTCACTTCCTTTTAGTTTTAATACTACAAACTCTGGATTTCTTGAAATTGTGAGAATGTTTAGAGGGATGTTTTTAGGTTTTTTTTTATCGCCAGAATAACTTCTCACATATTGTGTAAAGTTAGACATAAAATATTTGTACTTGTAGGTATTTACATCTGTTTGAGTGCAGAGCTAATGTAATTAATGACACAAACAACTTCAGTAAAGAGTGTAGCCTGTTAGCTTTCACTGTGCTTCTGTGTTATGCCTCGAAAACTGCTGTGGTGGGTGCCATGTACATGTACACAACAAAATAAAGTGCTACTTTAAAAATCTTGTTCCATCAATAGAATTTTTTTTTTTTGAAAAGGTGTGTCTAAGCAGCCATTTAAAAAAATAACTGTGTTAGATTACAATGCAGAATTCACAACCAGTTTGAGATCCCAGTGAACTTGTATCACAGAATGCAAGCTAGTAACAATACGAAAACTTCCCGCAAGTTTCACCCCAATATTTTCAGTCAGTGGGGTAGGGGTTGAGGAAAATATTTACAGGCCACTGAAATCTCCAGAAAAAACACATACACTCTCGGTTACACTTCCTTCTATTCTTTACCTGTGCTTCTAGTGTTGATGGAAGTTCTGTGTTTCCAGCTGTTCTCAGAACAATTACTTATTGCACAATCTTTGCTCAACACTGGCAGTGTTTTTATTTAATGATTTGGCAATAATTTGTTCTTTTTTAAAAGCTTTGTCCAAAAAAAGTAGTAAACTATTTTTATGGTGTGTTCCCAGAAAAGCGAAAGCCCCAACCTTAAGGGAGGAAAGCTTTCAGTGAATTGGAACTTGGATGTTATGCACATTGGTTCTGTACTGTTAAATGTCACAGTACGGGACGCTATTTGTGTTGTTTCAAAAAAGAAAAAAGAGAAAATGAGTGGGTACTGTAGCTATATAACCAATTCTGGGATATAAACAGAATAAAATTATTGGTAGTTAATAAAGTATTTAGTGGTTCCATTGGTGAAATGCTGTTGAAGATAAACATTTCAGTAATTATTTAAACTGGGAAATGTGAGTACCATAATTAAAACCAGAATGAGTAGACAGTAAAAATAATTTCCTCTGTCCACTAAGAGATTGTTAGTCCTTTACATAACCTTTGGTAATCAGTTTGTACTGATGTGTGCTATATTAGCTTTGGCATATGACCATGCTAGAGTGAAGTAAGATAAATACAACATTTTTAGTAATTTTACCAAGATGAGTTAATTTAATCTTGAGAGTTTATTAATGAAGTTTTGTCTTGACTATCAACTGAAGTTTAAAATTTATAGTCTTCATTCAGTAAAGATAAATAAAATAGAAGTTATGGCTTTAAGCCCTAAGGAGTCTCATTTGCTTGTTTTTGTATCTGCCTGTGTAAATAGAATTTTGGGAAATACTTTGTTGTGCAGCAGCTGCAGAATTTTTGAGCTAGGGTAGAAGAATTCACTTCAGAGAAAGAAAGCAGAAGTAGAAAAACTTACTGAAAGAAGTGTCCCCTGAGCACTGTCAGCAGCTCTTCTTTACAAATAGACCAACTATACAGCTAAAATGTAAAAAACCATGGATGCTTTCAACCTGTCACATTGAACATTGATATCTCATGAATATGTGTATGATTTCAATCAGGAAAATAAAATAGGTCTTTATTGTAAAGAAGAGTAATTCTAGTTGATTGCAATTATTTCTTCTCTGAGTTTTATAGTATCTTATACTTGTGTTTAGGCCTAGCTATTCAAGTTCTGAGAAGAGAAAAATATACCACAATACATTTGCAAGAGCCAGGGAATGTTGTCTTGTTAAGCTGCTCCCTTGGAAGGCTCTGTGGGTTTGTCATTAATAAGCTAAAGCAGCTTAG